AGTAAATATAATTACTTCTCATCTCTCTTATTTTTAAAATTCAGCAAATTTGCATATCTAATTTCCAGAATGGATAAGGAAAAGAATAATCCAATGGAATTATCATCAACATATATTATTAGCATGCAAATCCTCACTACGCACCTGTGCATTGCCGTTTCCTTCTAGCTAGCTAGGCAACACGTACAACTACAAAACCAGTTCACAACATGTCCATCAGCTAGTGCTAACATATTTTAGAAAAACCTACATAGTGTTACAAAAAACCAAAACAATGTACAAAAAATCTACATAATGTCACTTTTCAAGACACGTAATACCCGTGCAGTTCTAACTGTTGGGTTGTAGGAAGAGTTTTGCAGATTTTGTAGTGAATAGTTAACTAAAGCAACTATATTTGAAAACATTTATTCAGGCAATAATAGCTTCGCCATATAGTATATCCTCTACACCGTTTTAGTAAGATTCCGAGCATCAATATCGTTTTGCAAAGTTTGGAGTAGCTAAAAACCGGAAATATAACTTTGCAATTTATTTTATTGCATCTATACAAGCGTCAGTCGGACGTTCTTATGGTGTATGAAACCACTCTTCCTATTTGCTGATGCAGGCCTCTTCTCCTATGCTAAGATAAACAATTTATCTAGCAAACGTTGTACTTCTACGAGTTCATTGTCAAAGTACGTCAAGCAACAGAATGCCTTGACATATACTGGGCTTCATAGGCAACCCATTCTTTGGTTGAAATGGGCATAGACATAGGACAAACAAGTGGGAATGGTCATCCACGCTACCGTGCAAGAGATTATGGAGCAATGTCAGGCCGGCAATAGGACGTCTTAATTCTAGAGACACTAGGCTGAAATGTCGCAGCAAAATAAATTGACTGACACCCCGTTCTGCCAAGCCCATTTCCACTTTCTGACCCATCAAGCAGTCGCAACATAAAGTATCCACAAAGCAGACTAACAACGGCTTTCTATGCATACACGCATAATTTGACACGATTGAAATTGGCCTGAAAAACGTCTATCTTCAGGACAACTAGACCTATACCGCACTTACGAGTTGATAATGAGCACAAAACAGTGCTGCCTCCGATTGATCATGGTTACAGAGGCTTAAGGCAAACGCGTATGCGAAGAACTAAACAGGTAAAGTGCATGTTTAACTACTAATACGTAAAAAGTTAGAGCCCCTTTACAACATCATATATAATTATCTTGGAACCCTGACCATAATATGGATCTCTATAGACACAGATGAACGTACTTTCATACTTTGACAGTAACCTATATTACAAGGCCCGAAGCTGTATAGCTATATATAGATGCTGGCATTATAAACCCTCATTATCTCTGCCTCAGACTCCATACACCTATGTCTTACATGTATGAGTACAAATATATCTACAGAATATCCCCATTATCTCTAAGCTGAGAATGTGCCTTTGAGGATGTTTGGATATTAATGAGCCCCCTACCTTCTAAATAGTTCCCCTTACATGAATGCATATTACCCAGGTAAATGTATACGTTAATTTTAGGTAATATTAATACAATGCTCAGAAGGCTGAAACGCAAGTTAACTGGCTTTGTGGTGTAATGAGACCTACTAGAGCCAACTAGATTCATTCGGGATATTTTAAGAACCCTGTTTTTCTATACATGGTGTAAAGTAGTAGTGAGTTATAAGATCGATGCTTCGAGATCGCTTTTTAAAAAGTTTATTTTTCGAAAATACAAAACTCAAAACTGTACTTTTACAAAATTATTACAATGTTATTACGATGTAAACAGTACAAAGGCTTAAATCTGACTGACTGTAAAATATGTTGAGAACAATAAAGTAAACTCTAGGTCTTCTAGGAAATTAGTAGCATCGTCGGCAGTATTCCTATCATATCAGCAGGAACGGCTGATATAACTCCTCCCCCCTGAGATTCGACTTCGGGGAAGAATTCTTCAAGGAAGTTGAATAGGATGAAGTTCGACTTCTGGTTGTTGAATACTTCTATTTCTGAGCTTCCGCCTCTTCAAAATGGTTTTCCAGAATGCGTAGACACCCAAGAGTAATATACATCCATATATTATTAGTGTCCAGGCACTGGGTATAAAAAATTCTGTAGGTTCTTTGAAGTTGGGTTTGTTGTTGATAATGCTTGACTTGATTTTACTTAACTCGTCTAGCTTAATTTTTTCTAGATGCAGACTGAAATTTGTTTCTGTGATGTCGCTTTTAGAGTCCAGGTTTAAATCCGGGAATATTATAGGTTGGCCCGCGACAATCGTTTCGGGTTCATTTTTGATGATTTGGTGATTAATTTCGGCTTGACAGTTGACAGGAATATGAAGTAGGTAAGTTCCCGTCAATCTTTTCATTTGCATTTCTTCGTGGCATTCCATTTTGATAACTTCTGGTAGTGGCAGGATCAATACCCATTGATTAGTCCGTTGGATTCGTTCGATACTTGGCTGATTGATTATCAGTGGAGTTCGGGCACATGCAGGGACGTTTCTTCCATTGAATAGTTCAAGTTCACAGGGTAATGGACCATTAATGTCTCGCAAGATGGTCTTCTCGCAGAGAAACTTTTTAGGAGTAATTTCAGTACAAATGTCGCCGAAAAGTGCAAAGTGCAATTCACTTTTTACCAAATAAGGCTCCTTTGGAATGATAGTCTTAAATTGACCTTCAAAATATATCGGGATTGGAAAGAGACGATATAAGTTAAATGACTCATAGTATGAGATTGGGAATGATAAAACGAATGTAATTTTGTTGCCCACAGAATAACTGGAGATTTTGATTATTTTTTCAAAAGTTGGTATGTTATCTAGTAAAACTGGAATCGCAAATTTTTCCTGGCCTAATCTTGAGCTCAATAGTTTCAGTTCACCAAAAATTTCTTCGGTTGTAATAATGCTAGAGTGAATTGTTCCAAGACGTGCAAAAATTATTGAATTTTCAACGTCTTGTAATATTGACAGAGTTACTTCGTAGCTGTTCATAATTTGAGATACTGTGTCTACTATGAATTTATGCTGATCTGAATCGATTGTAGTACGATGAACAATTGCATATATGGTATTAATTTTATTATTCAGCAATTGTTCATTATGACAGATTTGCTGAACAGTTTTATTGAACTTATCAATAAGAGATACTGACAGTGCATTATTCTGTGTGACACTGTCAGTCAATTCTCTTTGATTATTTTGAAGCTCTCGAATTAGATTTTCGAAACGTTCGCCATCATTGGCGTCAAGGTTTCCAGTTATTGATTTGAATATCGACCCAATGCCATTTAATATGCCTCTTTTTCCTCGCTTTGTATGGGGAAATATATTATGTAACTTTTGTTCTACCTGTCGCTGAACAAATTTTAATGTTCTGAAATAATTGGACAAATATGTAGTGACATTTAAATTTGAAGAAATGATTTCTGCTATACGTGAGGAGGAAATTGATAATTTTTCAATTTCAGAAATGATGGGATTCATATCATAATAATGAATGAGTGAAAAGTCATAGTCTTTTACTTTTGCTTCACCAATTTCCACGGGAAGTAGTCCTGGATTGTTGTCGAGGTTACGTATAGTTATGCTATCCTGAAGTCCAACCGTTACTTGCAGGAATCTGCAAATGAATAATACCTACATGTATGTATGTATGTCGTACTTGGAGAGAAACATTTAGTTGCTAAATGAATATGGTTTGCGAAGGGAACGCTTCAAATTATCGATATGTACTTTATTGTGTTTATCAGTAGTAGCGGTCTTTTTACCAGGATCGACTGATGTTAGTGTACATGATTTTTGGAATTTATTTGCATTTTTCTGACGTATATTTTTCTTAACGAATGCTTTCTGACCTGGTTGAAATATTTTTGCACTATCTCGAGCTATGTTTGCCTTTTCAATTACTTTTTCTTTATTTTGAACAAGCGCCTCGTTGATTTTGGTATATAATAGCTTACTGCGTGCTTTGTGTTGTTCTACATAATCATTCAACAAAATTTGGTCTAAGCTGATGTCAAATGTATCTTTTTCACTGAGATGACCATTTATGACATCGATGGGTTTTAATTTAGTCACAGAATGAACAGAGTTGTTGTATGCTAAGATTGCGTATATCATTTTCATTTGGACAGATGTTTTTTGAAAGCCTTGAGTGTTTAAAATTCGGAGTTGCTCAGATATTGTCGAATGAAATCTTTCGACTACGCCATTTGACTGGGGATGGTTCGGGGAACAGAAATGTATTTCGATTCCATGTAAACCTAATAACTCGGATATGACTGAGTTTTTAAACTCGGTGCCATTGTCAGTAATAACTTGTGTCGGGATTCCATGATGGGAAAAGTATCGGATAAGGTTGTCAGCTACTTCGGTACCTGTCATTGAATTGAGATGGTAAGCTTGAGCGTACTTTGAAAAACTATCGATAATGGTCAAAAATTTAGATTTTTCAAATGTGTATGTGTCCATGTGAATTATTTCAAATGGCTTCACAGCAGTGGGAGTGATATTCATTTACGCTTTAACAGGGTGTCTCTCGTATTTGGCTTGTTGACAGATTTCGCAGTCATTTATGTATGACTGAACGGAACTTTTCAAATTTGGCCAATAGTACTTTTGTTTTAAGCGAGAATAGGTTTCATCGATCCCGCGATGATTTGATTTCCCTTCATGATAATTTTGTATTAAACTTTTAATTTCATCATTACTAGTGATGTCTAGAAGTTTTTCAAGACACCTTTTGAACTTGATAGAGGGCCATTTAAAATACTTTTGTAAAGCGCCTGAGAAGGGTTCGTATATGTCAGGATCTTCGAAATATATATAGTATGGGACATCGGGTACAATATATTCCTTGACAAAATTTACAACATCTGATTCAAGGTTGTTCTTTGAAATTTGCACTAATAGCCGCTGTTTTCTCTCGAATAAAATTATGATTTTCGGCTTGGCGGGAGAGTGCAGGACCGATTTAATTACGATCTGATTTTGGCCAAAGTTCAATGGTTGGTCTGATATAGGAATTGTAACAACCGGGTGTTGATTATTAGAGTGCCGGGTTTCATCATCCTTGTCAAGTTCGTCTTCATTAGTATTGGTTTTGTCAATAACAAAAGGAAGTTCGTGGTAGTCAGTTTGTTCTGTTTCATTGATTATATCTTTGTCAGTATTTGTATTGTCAACGGTAGGAAGTTCCTGACAGTCAGGTTGATCTGTTTCATTGTCCAAGTTGACAATCATTGAGATATCGTCTAGTTCAGGGTTTAAATTGGGGTAGCTAATATCTTGAATTATCAGTGGTGAATTTGGATTAGCTTGTGTCGTGGGAGGTGTGTTTAAATTTTGATCTACAAAGGTAATTCTTTGATTCTGATAGTTGGACGCTTCTCCAAGGAAGTCATCGAGTTGGTCCCAAAAATCGTTAGTTTCCTTAGTATGAATTTCGATTCTAGAAAGAGCGTCAGCATTTGTATTGAGTTTGCCTTTTTTATAGATGATTTTGAAATTATATTCGTCAAGTTTCATTTTCCATCTCATTAATTTTGAGGAGACGCCTTCCTTTAATGAATAAAGGTACTGGAGGGGTTTGTGATCTGTTATAATATTGAAGGTCTGCCCATAGAGGTAAGGTCTGAAATATTTGGTAGCCCACACTATAGCTAACAACTCTTTTTCGGTAGTGCTGTAATTTCTTTCCGAATCATTTAAGGTTCGTGACGCATAAGCTACAGGCAAATCACTACCGATTGGACCCTGACTAAGAACTGCCCCTAAAGCTACATTGCTTGCGTCAGTTGTCAAATTGAACGGTCTTGTGAAGTCTGGGTACTGAAGTATTGGGTCGTTGGTAAGTAATGTCTTACAGTTTTCGAAACATGATACAAATTCGTCGTCGTGAACAATTTTTGCGCCTTTTTTGAGGCACTTAGTGAGAGGTTTCGTGAGTTGAGCGAAATTTGGAATAAATCGCCGATAATAGCGTAAGAGTCCTAAAAAGCTTTTTATTTGCCTATTAGTTTTTGGTATAGGGAAATTTTGTATTGCTGAGATTTTGTCGGGGTTAGGTTTCACGCCTTCAGGAGTTACTATATGTCCGAGGTATGCAACCTCTTTTCTTAGAAACTCGGATTTATCTAACTGAATTTTAAAGTTAGATTCGCGTAGTCGGGTAAAGACAGATCGTAGCCTTTCTAAATGCTCTTGAAGAGACGTCGAAAATACGATAATGTCATCGAGGTAAACGAGACATTTTTCGTTTTGAATTCCTCGGAGGATGTTATCCATCACTCGTTGGAACGTGGCTGGTGAATTTTTAAGACCAAACGGCATTCTCAAAAATTCCCAATGGCCATTTTCGGTGTTAAATGCTGTTTTTTCAATGTCTTTCTCATCCATTTCTATTTGGTGAAAACCACTAGCAAGATCCAACGTACTGAAATAGTGGCATCTTCCTAGTTTGTCCAGCAGGTCGTTTATATTGGGAAGTGGATATTTGTCATCAATAGTCTTATCGTTAAGATTACGATAGTCTATTACGACGCGCCATTTCTGTTTGCCAGAGGCATCCATCTGCTTAGCCACAACCCAAATGGGCGAGCAATATGGCGAATTACTTTGCCTAATAATGTTCGATTTCAACATTTTTTGGATTTGGTCATTTACTTCTTGTCGGTGAACAAAGGGGTACCGGTAGGTCTTGGAATAAATTGGGATCTCATCAGTAGTTCGAATCTGATGTTTTATCTTGTTTGTGAAAGTTAGTGGTTCGCCTTCACGATAAAATATATCCGAAAATTCTTTGCAAAGTTTGAGGATTGCGGACTGTTCTTCTGAATTTAGGTGGTCTACTCTAATTTTGGAATAGTCTAGTTTATTTTCTGGAGAATCGTTGATATTATTAAGATCAAATTCTTGACATATCGTCGGATGTATAGACTGGTAAAATGGTTCAACAGAAAGGGGTTCAGAAAAGTCGAGTGTAACGGTATCTGTCGTATTGTTCAGTAAGGTCGTCAAAGCATAACTATCTTTCGCAATAGTCAAGCATTCCGGTATTTCACAATTATGGATTTTTTGGTGGGGTATAATAATTTCGCCATCGCTTATGGATGTTTTAACTTTTATGACAAGCTCAGTGCGAGGTTCGATGGTAACAAAATTCAAATTATTCTTAGGTTTTTGATAAAGCAACTTGATTTTTGCATACGGTGTCACAAGAAACCCTTCTTGAAATAAGAGTCTTGCCTGTAATTCTTCTAAGTTATCCATACCGATCAAACCATTGAAAAAATCATGAAACTTGAACAAGTAAAATTTTAATTCCTTTAGATGAGGCAAATTAAAAATTTTGGATGCTGGTATTAAAGTACTGAATTTATGGGCGGATTTCTGAAATACAGACGAAACAATGAATGGTTCATTTTTGATTTGTTGTGGAAAATATTTGAATGCGATGTCTGGATCTATAAATGACCTAGTAGACCCGCAGTCAATCAAAAGTTTTATGTCATATTCGGGAAAAACTATATAGCTCAATCCTTTTGTGTTGCTAGCATTGAACGATATAATTTCACTGTTTATGTCGGTTGAATAACCTGGCTGGCTGGGGGAAAATTTCCATTTCCTGACGTCGAGGTTGGGTTGGGCATGTCAAGTTCATTATTTTGATCGGTATTGTAATGATCGTATTGACAAATATTTTGGTTGGGGTCATCATAGAATTCATCGTAATTATTTTCGACGTTAGTAGCAAAATTGCCTGTATCATAAGTTTCATATGTTGCGTTATCATTTAACTCGGTGTTATACAGTTCCTCAAAGATAAAATTTTGCTGAGGTCGAGGTGTGTTCGCCGGAATTGGAGCGAATGGTGGACGTATTGTGTTTCTTGTGCTGACACTCATCGGTGTCGGCCTTGGAAGATTTCTTGGATTTGAAGAATTGGGCTTAAAAACGTTTGTATTCGGATTCTTTGTTTGTTGGTTGCCAAAGACTTCAGCGTTAGTCGGGAAACGCTGATTTAAGTTTGGCCTAGGTTGAATTTGGATGGGTTGAGATGGGAATTGCGCACGGAAAAAGCTATTAGGCGTACGAGAATTAAAATTTTGATAAGGCATATTAACTGGGCGTGCAGGTCTGAACTGCGAATTTTGAAAATTTGTAAAATTCTGTGAATCTGTCTTAACTCTATATGAAACGTTTTGGAAATAATGCACATTTTGTTCTTCAATCACTAATTGAAGAGCTTCGCTCAAGGAGGTTGGTTTCATGCACCTGACAGTGGTGCCCAATGGTTCTTTCAAGCCTGAAAGGAAAGTCTTTAACGCAAGTTTTTGATACAAATCGCGTTTTATTGCTTTACCACTTTCGGTAGCTTCGTGGATATTAACGTAGCTACACAGATTGTTTAAAATATGCAAACATCTTTCGTGAAATTTTTGAGGGCTCTCATTTTGATATTGCTTTAGTAAGCAAAGGTCTCTATGTAAGCACACTTCATCACGTTGGTCAGAAAAACTAGTAACTAATAAAGTTTCGAGTTCACTCCAGGTGTTCACTGAATGAATGTTTATTAAAGATTTGGCATGTCCTCTCAGCTTTGAAAGAATGGAGTTCAATAAAAATGTATTTTGAAAATTGTTTGGATTGGAATGATCATAAAAATTGTCAATCAAGGATTTGCTTACACGCAAAAATCGATTGAGATCGTTACTGTTGCCGTCAAATTCGGGCACACAACTTAAGTATTCGGGCCTAAAAGTAGCCATAGTTGTAGTAATACTTGTAGGTATTGAATGTACAGGGACTTGTGAAAGTATGGGCTCACGTAGTATATTAGAGTACCGTCGAGTATTTGGAGAGTCAGTATTAAGTTCCAAATTCTCAAGGGCTTGCGATATATCAATACCTACTCATTGAAATTTGAAGCGATAAATGGAAAAAAATAAACTGCACTTACAACACTAAGAAAGCGATCTTTAGCATCTCTTACTCCTATAAAGATCCTAGCTGGTTCTGCAATGTTGTCTTCCCCAGGCTGGAATCCTTGCGAACTTGGGCAATGTGGTCCCAAATTCCGATGCCCTTCGTATGTAGCTGTTCACGCCGGTTCCTCGATGGATTGGGTATCCAAAAATATGAATCCACTCCAGTGCTCACTGCCACTACACGAATGCCACCAAGTCCAAAAAGGCCGGATAGAGTCCCGAAAAGTCCCGTCGCGACGGTTTGCGAAAGTCTTTCCCGGGTCGCGTATTTCTGATCCTACTGGATTGACTGCGCCAGTTATAAGATCGATGCTTCGAGATCGCTTTTTAAAAAGTTTATTTTTCGAAAATACAAAACTCAAAACTGTACTTTTACAAAATTATTACAATGTTATTACGATGTAAACAGTACAAAGGCTTAAATCTGACTGACTGTAAAATATGTTGAGAACAATAAAGTAAACTCTAGGTCTTCTAGGAAATTAGTAGCATCGTCGGCAGTATTCCTATCATATCAGCAGGAACGGCTGATATAACTAGTGCGTCAACGGAAGTCAGGTGATAGATGGCCTCAAAACATATCGAATGAACCCCAATATGTGTGGTCCAAAATTTGGAAAAAAAAACGGGATAATAAACTTTCAATCGCAATTACAACTGAACCAGTGGGGTTAGAGCTGTGATTTTTTTGAGATGAGCTAAACGGTTAGTTTTAGTTATGGTTATGTCACTTTTTAACAGAGCTAATTAGAAATCAATGCAAAAAGTCTTAAATTCATTTTTTTGTGAAAATTCTCTTCCATATCTCAACTTTGGACCGCGGTAACAAAATTGAGGTTGTATTTCATTGTTCATTTTATTGTAAAAACTATTTCAATCCATGTAGAATAAACTCTGAAACAAACGAAAGAAACGCAATAGAATCCTTACCACCATCTAATAATTTTGACTTAAATAATAAAAATAAATATTTATCAATTCTTTATTTGCTACAAAAAATGTACATCTTCCAATGTTTCAATTAAGTTCGTAATTTCAGTTAAAGTAAAATTAGCGTGACTTCTGTTGTTGCAGATTAGATGATGAATAATTTATATCACGGTTGTAAGATGTTACTTTTAGCAGAATGCATGCTGAACTGCATTCGTCTGTTAAAGGTTTCTAACGGAGTTTTTAATATTGTTCATTTTTGAAAATAATTACTCGCAAGCATATGTAGACGTTAATATCGTTAATATAGCATGAGCCAGCTTCTTCAAGCAGTTAAATATGTCCGGTAATGCATTCCACGTTTCCAAAATTTTGTTATTAGCATTTTAATTTATATCACTTCCAATCTTTCTGTTTCTATTAGTTATAACTTTATCCTTGTTTCAATAAATTTTTGAATCCATATTGGACTGGAAATCAATCAGCTGCATTTCGAATTCTTCGATTTCCAACCAATCGAATTGGGACAAGCTCAATTTATTAAATGACGTCACGTCAGGGTACATAATAAACTTGATTATTTCCGGTAATCCATTTAACTGCGTAAATCTCGCTGAAAATTCCTTGATTGTATAATCAATCAAAGAAATAAATTCTTCAGTAACTCTTTCTTTGTCTGGTATCTCGTGTATATCTAAATCGTTCATATATTTTTTCAAGTTTGGAAAATACTTCTTGTGATAATATCGTTCCTGAAAACTTGCACTTTAGCCTCAAAAGCGCGCATCAGATCTACCATAACAATAATTGTTTTTGCTTTGCCTTGTAGCTTTACGTTTAGCGTGTTTGAATGTTGGCATACGTCTGTAAAAAACATCAATTTTGAAAGCCACATAACATCAAACAATTGTGGGTGTTGTTCAATTTTCCTCTCATTTTGAAGAAACAGTTTGATTTCGTCCATAAATCTTTCAAGTACGTTCCCGCGGCTCAACTAGCGAACATTATTATACTAAGCCATTGTACACCGAGTTGACTTCATCCAACACAGCATCGACATTCGCTTGTTTAAAGCCTGTGACGAGATGAGGTTGACTATTTGTGAAACTACCGGTAGTATGTTATCAACGTATGTTAAACCACTCTTAGCACATAAGACTTGTTGGTGGATGATGGCTCACGACGTTTTAAAACATCTCTATCTACTTGCGTTCGCTTATCATAAAATAAATACCTAAAGTATATTCAGATAAGAGATAGACCGGATGTAAACAAAAGGTTCGGGTGATTTTCACGCTAACGCCGCCGTCTCGACGTAAAACAGGAGCCCTCATTGGTCAATTCGCAATTAAATGCCTATGCCGAGCGGCAGAGCAGTCGTATCAAGGCAGAGTCACATTCAGGTTCAGACGTGTTACGTATGTCGTGTGCATCATTGCAATTTGATATTTCTTTGGACGTTTTCGTTTGTTACCTTATTAAGTTGTTGAGTTTGTCGTTGTTATTGTTATACCTTGTTATTGATTGTTATTGTTATCAACTGCTTGCGCAAAATGCCCAGTAGTACAGATACTGCCGATGAAGTTGTAAACTCCTGTAGTCCACCTAGGAAACGCTCTAAAAAAAGACACCTGAGTGCAGAAATGAAAGAGGTCATTTTGAATATATATAAGATCGAGCGCGAGGAGAACGAGGCATCAACCATCAAAGAAATTGTTGTGAAGGTTTCTCACAAAGTTGGGGTGTGTCGCGCATCAGTGTTTAATGTGTTAAGACAATACAAAAAAAAATCACACCTTTTCTGAGCCAATGACAAGTAAACATCGCAAAAGTATTGTTAAATCATTGGATGAAGCTGATAAGCATGCGATTAGGAGGAAAGTGCATGAATTCTTCTTTAGGAATGAAATACCTACTATAGATAAAGTACTGCAGGAGGTAAATGGAGATACAACGTTGCCAAATTTCAAACGATCAACTTTCCATGCGTTACTGAAGCATTTAAATTTCAAATGGAAAAAACGGGGTCGTAATAGTTTACTACTGGATAGACAAGAAATTGTGCTATGGAGGAGGGATTATTTAACAAAAATTGGGAAATATAGAAATCAAAACAGGAAGATTTATTACCTTGATGAAACGTGGGTAAACGCAGGACACACTACAAGTAAAGTATGGGTTGATGATTCTGTAACTTCATCCAGGAGGGCTTTTCTAGATGGACTGACCACCGGATTAAAAAATCCAGCAGGTAAATACGAGTAATAGACAACAATCGGATGTTTTTCAAACCTTGGGAACAAGGTTCTAAACATTAATTCCAGGGGGCAGATAAAACATATTACAAGTAACAAAACTTTTATACCTTTCGATAAAATGCGTGGATGTTTTATTGTCATTTTCATTTGTTAGAACTTTTTTAAGCCATGTTTTTATGTGTTTTCGATATTTCAATAATTTTTTAATATAATCTTAAAATACGTATGTCGAATATTATAAACTTAAAAAAAGTTACTAAGTTTTATATTGTGTTCCGTTCCTAATATTTCTAATCATTTTAATTCATACTTTAAGCTTTATAAAGTTATAATTTGTTAATATTAATATTTGCGCGTATTTCAGGTTCCTGATCATTCATTTTTTAAAGGTTTATAACTTTCAATTAAATTGTGAAGCGCTGAGTAATCATACGACGTTCAATATTCTTTCTTTCAATATGACTAAATAATCCCAATTATAGCAATCTGATACTCATGTCTCAATGTTTTTTCGCTGAATGTGATGAAAACATTTGAAAAAGGTTCGCTTATTGAAATAAATCTACACCAGTTAGTACTTCGAATTCCAGGTACAGGGAAAAGGCTCATTATCTGCCATATTGGCAGTGAGGTTGGATTTGTTGTTGACGGTCTGTGGTGCTTTGAGTCTAAGAAAACTGGAGATTACCACGAGGAAATGAAGGGCGAATCGTTTGAACAGTGGTTTTCAAAAATTTTACCGAACTTAGAGGAAAACGCAGTAATTGTGTTGGATAATGCGCCTTATCATTCTCGAAGAATGGAGAAGGTCCCAACAACGGCTTCAAGGAAAGTTGATGTTCAAAATTGGCTCCGCTCGAAAAATATCAACTTTGAAGAAGCAATGCTGAAAGTACAATTATTAAGAATTGTCAAGGATCACAAGGCGGAATATCAAAAATACGCCATTGACGAAATGGCAGCAAGTCAAAATAAAACTGTGCTCCGTTTACCTCCATACCATTGCGAGCTCAATCCCATTGAGCTCATATGGGCAGAGGTTAAAAATTATATAGCTAAGCACAATACAACTTTTAAATTTTGTGACCTCAAAGGACTTTTCAATGAAGCACTAGAATTAGTAACAGCGCAAAAATGGGAAAACTGTATTAAGCACGTGAAAGACAAAGTTGAGAAGAGAATGTGGGAACTGGACAATATTTTAGAGGAACAAGTCGAGCCATTCATTATTGACGTTGGTGCTTCAGGCAGTAGCGATGATGAAAGCTCATCAAGCTCATCTTTCCAATAAAAGATGTCGTTCATCAAATTCGGTAAGTTATAAGTAATTATAAAGCTACTGTATTTTTTAATTAATTATTGACATTTTTGAACCCATTTTGGCAAAACCTATTCAAGAATCTACTTTCTGACAATGTTCAACCATGCACATTTTTTTACGTTTTGAACGTTTTAATTTGGTTACATATTTACCTAGAAATCAAAAAATATACTAATCAATATTCTAAAAGCAATTTTAAGAGATATACGATTATTTTTAATTTAGGCTAATTTAAACGCCATTTTGAGATTATATTCGACTGTATTTCACCAAACATCAGGCGGCATCCGAAGCTGGAAATCGAAGCGAAAATTTTGAAACCCTTATGTATATTTACATCATTATATATTTCTTACCCCACCCCCACATGATCCTATATCCATCACCAATCGTATACACATCGAATTGTGCTAATTTACTACAAAGTTACGCAAAGCAGCATCTACTATCTAAAATATGTACTGCGTGACTCTTAATACGTCCCTGCCGAATGTTACAGCGTTCGATGATCACGTGGTCTTGTTTATGTCCGGTCTATCTCTTATCTGAATATACTGTACGTACTTTACACTTTTTCTCCTAATGCACAATGATTTAGTGACTAGTGACGTATCCAAACTATTGTGTTGCGTGCCTTTGGTTCACATTAACAGGGTAACTGGTTATTCAATCTACATCTCTTCCGATGTGATCTGGGACCTGAAATCCGACAAAATTCACCCTATGCCGTTTCAAATTCGAGCCTCACCATTCGGATCTCGAAAAACGGTAAAAGACATGATTCCACTTAAATGCTGGCAAAGCTGCGGATTTAGGTTACTAAGAAAGTAAGCTAAGCTTAGAAAGTATCTAAATTCCCTAAATCGTTTGAATTTTCTCCTGGCTTTATTTAAAGTGGATTTCAAAATCAATTGCACATTCACATTGCTACTTTTTATCGTTTATATATATACATAACTTTAGTTTCTCTTAAGGACGATATATTGATTTTTTTTTTCACAGGTGGATAGAGTGTTTAATTCTGATTCCAAAATTGTATAATACATTGGGATTGCTAAACCGTAGTTATTTCAAAAGGATAAGAAAATAGATTTTTCCTTGCCAGGTTGTGCAATGTGCATATACATAAATAATCGGAGAAAGAAGATAAGATAAGATAAATGACTAATGGTGATCTTAACAATCACTTTCACTCTGACCTTAAAGGTCATTTCAACGTTAAATTTATTTCCTTAAGTGGGAACCTGTACTTTGACCCCGACAATCTAAAGCGGGAACAATTCTAAGTTTGGGCCTGTCTTTGACCTTGACTTTGAGAATCATTTCGGCGTCATCTTGATTTTCTTAAACGGAACCCTATATTTTTGACCCCGGAAATTCAAAGAGGCAAAATTTCTAAATTTGGATATGACCGCGATCTTGGAGAACATTTAAGGTCAACCAGATTTTTCAAAACCGGCACTATACTTTTGACAAGATTGGTTAGTATGAGGTATGTATGAGCACTATACAAAAAGGAAGTGAGTAAATACCTTTGGTATGAAAACCTGGCGCGACGTTGCCTACCATGGTGAAATGCAGCAAACATTATCATAGTGGCAAGTCTAGCAAACGTCTGAGAGGCTTCACTGATCATGCCAGACTTCTGGAGAATCTCACACTGCATGCAGGTAAGGTCCATGGGCAATACTTTCGAGCTTTTCTGCCTGAGAGTAGATAATATATTTACAAGCTTTCCCCCGTCTAAAGAGTTACAAAATGTTACCGACACCTGGCCTATGACGATGTAGTAAATATTAACGATTATGGCCAGGATATTTCGATGCATCTAAGGCGCATCTGCATTGTTTATGTTATGTCAAGTCGCTAGGGAGGCGCAAGAGCCGGCATCGCGGGGTACATTGGATCTCGCGTCCTAACGCTGAAATAATGGTTGCCAAGGCCGCGTCTATTTATTGTTGGTATTTCCTACAACTTGAATTATTCGCGTATTTTTGTTTGTAACAGAAATTACCTTCGTAAACTAGGAAACTTATTACCTTCTACCTACGCAAGTTTGCTGCAACTTGATGGAACCTCATCGCTGAATGAGCACCAATAACTAACTTTGTTAATTTAAGTTTACATTCCTGATCGAGTCTGATTAATCGACTCTAATTTGTTTTCTCCGATCCGCATTGTTTTTTTGACTTGGGTATTTCAGGAAGCTCTTCTCTAGTGGCACTCAATACTTATAGCGCAGTATACAAAGTCACTCCTCTAACGGAGGGGCCCCATTCCAACATAGCGTTAGTGATATTTGTCAGAATTCGAAAGAATTTTTCGAAAACCGTTATACCTTAGGGGAGATCGGTGATGGTTAAAACAAAAATTACATATATATTTTTAACCTTGAAGGTTCGCCCTAGTCGAATTATTATCTTTCATAAATGCTATATAATCTTGCGAATGGAATGTTATTTTATAAGTTGTGAAAAATGTAATTCTTGTGTGCTAAACATTCAGAGACACGTCGGTGAAGAGTGTTACAATAGATATCCAAACGGCGGCAGTTTAATCAGAGCGAGTTGTCGATTATAACACGCATAGATACTCGTAGATACATTTATTGTCTTGTAAATCATAAAATGACATAAGAGGAGGTACATACCAAACTTAATTAAATATAAAACACAACAAACATACGTTTTTACAAGGTACAAACAGAAACAACTTAAGGCGTACAGATATTCACATATAAAAAAAGCTTATATAGCATATCACAGTGCGAGGTATTCAGACAAAGAATAGAAACATTTTTCAATTAATAATTTCCATAGTTGACGTTTGAAACTAGCAATGCTACTGAGATTAATTGGAAGTTTCTTGTATATTCGAATACAGGTGTTTTGTGGTGACTTTTCAAATAGCGACAATGTGTATTATAATGTTTGTTGATCTTTTTGTTCTGTATAAATCTTCTTTTGTTTGTATATGCGAAAAGGGCGCACTTATAAATATGAATGCTTAGTAGAGTAATGATGTTCTCACTTCTGAAGATCACTCTGTAGGATTCTCTTCTATGGATGTTGAGTATCGCTCAGATTATTCTCTCCTGTTGAACAAATGCTCTAGGACAGTGATCGCCAACCTTTGCATTGCGTTGAGTTACTCTGATAATTTTGGAATAATCATTGAGCTAAATAAACTAATAACTAATACATACTACAACCATTCTTACCAATCGTAGGTGTATAAAAAAAAATGTTTGTCTGCTACAACGGCAAAAATAAAAAATCAATGCACTATCTTTTACAAAAACATGTCTAGATAAAAAATGCGTGTTCAATGAGAAGCCTGATACTCAGACTCACTGACATTTTTTTTAATGTTTGGAGTATAATTTGATACCGCTATTCGAATATAATTATCCAAGTGTTCATCTGTAAGTCGATTACGGTATTTGCTTTTAATCATATTTGAAAAATAAGATTTGCGCAAATAGGTTGAACTAAATAACGCTTATACTTTCAAGGCAACACAACATAAAACTGAATATTTATCTTTACTTACTGAAGGCCAGATACATTTTGTATTTGACACTAATGATTCAAAGGCTAACCCATTTTGAAACGCAATCACTTCCATCCCTGTCGCAGCGATGTCGTCGCTAAAATTCTGCGAAACAGAAGCTGCAAACTGCTGGATATCAATTTCCATGAAGGGTGAAACAACAAATTGCACCACCATAGCAATTTCGTTGAAATCCTTGACACGATTTTTGAAATTATCCTTAGAGACTATTTCTACATAATATTCACTGTCATATGGTTCTAATGGACTTTGAGATATTTTTTCTGAAATAACACGAAAATGACTGGTATTGCCATCTCTTAAGTTTTGTTCCCAAAACTCTAGCTTTTTGATAAACGATTTTATATAATAAATTATTTCTGCTAGTTCTTTGTCTCTCTCCTGAAGCTGCAAAACATCTAGAAACGTCGACTGTTTTTTCGGACGGCTTGGATTAGTCATAGCATAAGACGATGAGGTATATCAAGTGCCCCAGACGCTTAGTCCAGGAATGTTTACCTTAATTTAAAAATAAGTTTAAATAAAATACCTAAAATAAGCAAAAACTTATATTTGGGAGGGTCAAAATGATCTTTTTTTGGTAACAGTTTAGGAAAAGTCACGCGTCGCCACTGGTTAACTTAAGAAAATGTCCACATAATGCTTGCTGATGGATAATGTAGCGGTAACAGAGAAATTGCGGAAAACTAAATCGGATAGCTGGAGCGCAATCGGTTGTCAAGCCTACCATTTTCGATATTGGAATTTTTTCGGAAGAAATAATATTTTTAAAAGAAGAAAACAGGTCCTGCCCAGGAGTCTGTTCTTTTACTGGAATAAACTTCAAAAGATCTTATTTAATCGAAAGATCACTAAAAACCATCCTGGCGGCGAACAAGGCCATCTGAAAGGTGTCAGCGACATCTATGGATTCGTCCAGCTGCAGTGAAAAATAAGCACAGCTATCAAAGTCATTTCTTAACTGTAAAACTATATAATTGCTCATTACTTCTACTCGACTCCTCACTGTACTAGCAGGAAGATTTTATGGCAGACACTATTTCGTCTTTATTGCTAAAGTTGGCAAACAATGAATCTGCAGCTTCTAAATACGCCTGTTTTATCATTTACCAGTCTTCATAAGGTTTTTTCTTTTGTGTAATTATCTGGAGCACCCGGCATGATGCTTCAGTTGCAGCCTTACTTTTGTCAATTGTTTTTAAAGACATTGTCTGTTGTCCAATTAACTGATTTTTAAATTGTTTCAGTTTTTCCGTTCTGGTTGCAGAACGTAATGGGAGTGATTTTTCAAAACTCGAATGTACAGTTTCTTTAGTGCCTTCCGTTGTTTTAGCAACGGAAGCTGATATATTACGTAACAAATATACATTTTTAGTTTATTTTAGTTCTGTAAAGAAATATTGTTCTTCCCATTCCGAATGAAAGTGGTGTGTCTTCATCTTCTTACTACTGTTCATGATGTTTTTAATTGCAGGCCAACTCTAACCTAACTGCTAGACTTTGTGCTGTTCAGTTTTAAACTGAGCGCACAGTCGCCGCGTCTTGCGTAGTTGTTCCGTTCAAAGTAATCGAAATCGTTCTCGAACAGATCGCTCACTGCAGCGTTGCCGCTGCTTGTATTTATTATGAGAATTTACAAAATATACGGAAGCTTCTCTGATTTTTACACCTTTTTAAAATATTCTGTGAGCCACCAGAATTGCTTTTGCGAGCTACCGGTAGCTCGCGATCGACGTGTTGGCGACCACTGCTCTAAAACATCAAAAAACGAAGTTTGATCAGTTTTTGTTCTTTTTTCGTTTTTTGTCCCGCAAGTTCAAGCCGCTGAATCAACTTTGAAAAACTATAAATCTGAACCGGAGATACAAAGCTGCTATCCTATAGATACCCATATTTTTATCACGTATGTAGCTATACCTAATTAAAGCAACGTTTGGGCGACTTTTTGGATATAATATATTTGGTCTGAAAACATGAATATGCGTCAATCCATGTCTCGACCGCTTTAATAAATAAAATGGACAGTTACGTTTTTAAGCGGATTCTCTAGTTTGGTCGCAGAATCACTATTCACAAGGTATAAGCAACTTGGACATAATGGGATTTGGAAATGTGAAAATACAGAGAGCGTTCTATTTAAATGTCTTAAGGAACAATGAATTATGTGGTTTTGGATAACCTGCACAATTAATTGGCACGAACAATTTAGAGAAAGTTCAAATCAGGTAGCAACTGAACTTGATCTTCTCACAGAGGACTAATTCAGCACTATGTCAAATAAAGTGGTCAAGGTTGGCATACCTTCATTTTTTAAAATGCAAAATTACTGACCTCGCCAACTACTCGTCTAAACTCCAATTTTTTTATAAAACCAAAGGTATCAACATTGTTATCCAGGTCACTGATCGAACACCTAGTACAATCTTGAACATATTTTGAAGACATACCCACATTATGAATGCAAGTTTGGGCCACCCTATCCATGTGGCAGAATAATGTCTCTGAACTTTCCATCAGAAATCATAATAAGAACAACTGTGACATATGTACTGAACCCACAGTATGCTGTAATAGGGTACGAGCTGTCCAACTTGAGAACTCTCAAAAACTACTAATGGAAGAATCGGACCCATGAATACTTCTCTTCTACGAAAGCAATTCCCCAACAGCTTTATGGAAAGTCTTTTTAGAAAATCTTTGTACAAAAATCCGTTCTCTACATAAATCGGGTTTGTGTACCACGAAAATAGTGTCAGCTTTTCCCTAAGTTTTATAGTATGATCTTTTGACAGACATATTTGGAATCAGCTTCTGGACTTACCCCATTCTTATTCGATACGGAAATTAAAATGAAAAGTTAGCATTGAGAATTTTCAGAGTTTAGAGGTACCATTGACGAACATTTTTGAGCATTTTTGCATTCCTGCAATCTAGGAGAAAAACCATTTTTTGGGCTAACACTGTTATATAGGACTTAGTGAGGAACACCGCATCGCATCAAAATTATGTTGTCTGTACTCGTATCAAGGGCAAACTGACCAATCACCTTTGCCGCCTTAAAACATTTTCCGCACCGGACGCACCATTTATCACATCAACACAGAAAGGTACACCCCCTTCAGTATCTACGATCATCAAGCATGTAAGAGCAAGTAGTCAGTCCCCTAAAAGTCAGGGAGTATTATGAGAAACAGCTGTAAATGCACATTAATCTCAATAAATTACGTCTCGGGCTAACACCCCTCTTCGGAAACGAAGATGAATGATAATTTGTACCGGCGCTGTTTCACATCGTAACATTTCCCATTTCCGGATATTTGCCTTCTTACACTTACCCTTTGTATCGAACGGCATGAGGTTAGATATGCACACAGAGGTAATAATGTTGCCGTCTTCTTTCTGCAAGGGTAAGAAAAGATGAAAATATATTGAAGTGATATAACCTCAGAAAGTTAGCTCTTGTTCTAAAATAATTTATGGCAGCCGAAAAATCAAAATCATGATCAATGTAATTAAGTAAGCCCAAAAGAAGGTGACATGTAGGCACTGCTCTATATTTGAATACGAAAAATGCCAAACAAAATCCAGAACACTAAGAATTTCACTGAGCAATAATCAATATATTAATATCTATAAAATACCCAATTGAAATGATGTTTTACCTGTTCACACCAGGGTTTTTTATCAAGGGGAAGGGAGGCTTCCAACAAAATTGGCTGCGAAACAGCTACAAGGCAGCTACAAAACAAAGCTGGAGGAGTGTGGATGGTGGTTCTCCGCAATGCCTTTCCACTGAAAGGAAGCAGATATTGAACAAACTTCTTGAGGACATGCATTAATGGACGTGGTCCGATGGTATAAGAAAAACAACTTACCGCTGAAGGTTATAATCCCATTAAAAAATGGACGGGGTAGTGTAGTACCCAAATCAAAACAACTAAGCGTAAGGTAGTAAATAAAAGGGTATCTACTACTTCATAATTTGGTGTTAGGGAGTCTTATATCCCAGAATCTGGAAATTAATGAGACGACACCCACACCACAATCTCCGCAGGAAGATAAATGACGAAGAAAACCTAAGTTTTTAAAAGAAGGTCGAATGAGTGGCCTTGAAGAAGGTATGTTCGACAAAGGGAACAGAGAAAAGCCCTTAAAGAAGGTATCTTCATATGAAATCAAATATTCATATACGGCTAGTAGAAATCACAAGGTGGTGCGCTGGTTGCGAGAGACCAACAAAATTTTATGAGGAAATTTCTAAGAAACTCGTCAATAATACTATATCATCACTGTCAAAAAGATTTCAACACAATACTGAATCGCTGAAAAAGAAAGATATAATACGTATGAAATTATACAATCAATCAAATTTGCCAAAAGAAAAGGATTTGGAGTAAGAATGAGTTATCTACTATAAATAAATAGAAATTCAAATTACTTATAAGTTATCAAAATAGTAAGAAAAAGTTACGTGATTTTGGCACAAAGTTCAACAGGAAATTGCAACTAATTTGCATGGTTCGTACCAAACACGCACCTCTTGTGTCCTAGCTTCTCATACGTTTTACCAGTTTCTGCTATTATAAACATAAGGATGGACTTCTACGTATAAAAGCTACGACGTATCATCGCGATAATATCTACAAACATCCCCTTTTCACGATGGCAGTCAATATTATGATAGCCCGCTTATTATGTTTGTGTTGTGGCCTAATACGATGTCGCCTTGCAATGTTAAATTCGATCCTGGCGTCTAAATTGATGTTTTTATCTGTCGTGGAGCGCTCCCTCATTACGTGAAGTGCTCTCTTGTCCTTGAGGGTAGCGTCGCACGGTTTTTCATTTCCTGTCTCTTTCGAGTCGTCGATTCATAAATTCAAATAAAAATTTAGAAGTGTAATCCAATAAATGTCGTTAGCCGCCCACGACGATATGTTGTTTATTGTACTATAACGAGGCCGTCAAATATGTGATACCAACTATGTTTTCTATGGATGGTCGAGTTCTACCAGTTGCTAGCTTCGGTTTGTCGAAGGTCAGATCACGGAGGACTTGATTTGGCATGAACACGTCTGGTCAATCGCGGAAGATACTGGAAAGAAATTCGGATATCTGTTTAGGGCTAAGAAGTATTTTCCTCGACATAACCTCCTCGTTTTGCACAATGGTGAGATAAAACACATAAACATCAATTTATCTAGTTTTTCTTTTCTTGTCTCTGTTGAGTCGTCAATACATAAATTCAAATCAAAATTTAGAAGTTGTAAACTCCAATAAATGTAGTAAGCCACTCACAACGATATGTTATTTATTGTAATATAACAAGGCCGTTAAATATCAAAGCTGGAGGCTGAGCATCCAAATCCTTAAACTTGAAATACGCGAATTACCTATTGCTAATTTTAGTACGTATCCTTCAGATCAGGCAGTTTCACAATATG